TTGTGATGAGTGAAAACACCCAGGCCTGGGCTCGGCTCTTTTGTAAGCAGAACTTGGGCAGTTTGGGCTCTTGTCCTTCTCTGGGTTCCATTGCTTCTCTCGACCTGGGAATGGTGTTCCTGGGCAGAGCCTTTGTAGGAAACAACTGGCCGATGAGCTTCCTCCTGCCCAAGACAAGGAAGCTGGGGGTGAGGGGGTGCCTGTGTGGGGAGGAGCCTTTTCAGGCACCAGTTGCCCTGCCCTCTGGTAGTGCCAGGTCCAGGCCGATGTTGCTTCTCAGTTCTCAGTAGCCTTATCATTCACAGGTGCCTCTAGCCTGCACAAATGATTGACAAAAGGTCACCCAAAGGATTCATTTTCGAGGTTTTTGTTGTTGTTGTTTTGTTTTGCTTAAGAGTTCGTATTAAAGATCTTCAAAGGAAGGAAGAGGGATATATTAGCAGTGGTCCCAGGTGCCTGGCCTCCAGTGCCCCATTTGGTACAACCCTGTCAGGGTCCTTCGCCATGATGGTGTCTAGATGTCCTGTTTGGGAAGATAAGATTATTAAGAGAAAGGATGATGGTCTTGCCATAAACTTGCCTAAAGGGTTTCAGCCTGGGAGGCTACCACTAATTCTCATCACCATCCCCATGCAGCCATTGCTGCATCCCAGATCCAGATGCCCCTTGGCTTATGGGCAGTTTTTTCTTTTTCTTTTTTTTTGCTCCTGCCCCCTCACCTTCAGCTCAGATAATAATTTTTGAGGACTGCTCTCGTGCCATTTCCTAGCACCCTCTTGGCCAAAAACTGAGTCCTTAGGGTTTCATTTCTTGCTGTCTGAGCCTCCAGGTGTCCAGCAGATCAAGAATGACTTGTAACAAGAGACTGATCCCAGGAACCGAAACAGCTGCAGGGAGTTGTGTTTGCCTTCCCTCCCCATCCTGCTCACATCTGTGATCACGTGTGAGAGCTCCGTGCTGAAGCTCTTGTTGCACACCTGCCAGGGAGCCAGTTTACACAGCAGCTCCCGGGAGCAACAGTGTCTTGGAAGCTGTTGGCTTCGTAAGCTGAGTGAACCGTAGACCAAGATTGGATGAAACTTTGCTTTTTTTTGTTTTTTTGAGACAGGGTTTCTCTGTGTAACTTTGGAGCCTTTCCTAGAACTCACTCTGTAACCCAGGCTGGCCTCCAACTCACAGAGATCTGCTTGCCTCTGCCTCCCGAGTGCTGGGATTAAAGGCTTGCGCCACCACTGCCCAGCTGAAACTTCGCTTCTTGTTGTATTTCAACTATTGAATTACCCTGCAAGTTCCTTCATCTTTCATAACTAGTCGCTCAGCTCACACATGTACAAATTCAGAATTGAGCTGGGTGTGTGGTGTATGCCTATAATCCCAGGACTCAACACTGAACTTCAGGACCCCTTGTCAGAAAATCAAAAGTAAACAGAACGTTATTGCTTATCATGTGTTCAAGACCAGAATTTACAAATAATGCCCCCTTCCCCATGTCGGGCACTACCACTTCAAGTACTTGCTACCCTGGTACCTTTATTCTCTCAGGGTACCCAGCAGCTTTGTGAATGTTGAGGGTTTGCCATCTCCAGCTGGGATCTGTTGTCCTGTGGAGATTCTCCCAAGGTTTTTCCCTTGGAAATCATAGTATTCTTCCTGCTCCAGTAGGGCCTCACAGCTCTTGTGCCAAGCTGATGTCTGAACTGTCAGCCCATGGGGCTTGCTCAGCTGCAGAGGTGTGAGGATAAGGTATCTTCTGCCTCCTTGAAAATGGAAGGCCTCCTGTGGCCCACATAATTGGCCTGCCTCACTTCAGCTACCTCTTAAAGCCCATGTAGGGGTTACAGCTGTAGGGTCTCAGCATGGTAGGCTAGGAGGCTATAATGTATCTGTGGAAACTTGGCTATTAGCTCCATTTTTAGGCCCCCAGGGCAATGTCTAGATAGATGGTAATCTCTTCTTTCCCACTGACCAAATCAACAGTCATTACAGCTGCTCTGCTTTCCAAAGTCAGCCCAGGAGCCTGGGCCAGCTGCAGGGAGGTGGCCTATTGTGAGTGAGGGTCAGTACCTTCCTCACTTGGGTGAGTCCCATGCACATGACCTCATTTTAGGACCAAGATCTGTGTTGGTTTGTCAGATTGTTAGCTTTTTCTCTAGAGGACCACAGTGGGTGAGACCCAGGGCCCTTGGCCATGCCAGCAGTACTCTTTAGGTCCTTGTCCAGTTGAGAGCTTCACGTCCACCATGTCAGCAGCACTTATTTATGTTTTCCATGAGGTTTTGGACCATGGGTGTGGCTCAGGCACTTTCTGTGAGAATGTTATTTCTGTAAAGATGGTTATTTAGCCCTTCCCAATCCCTACCTTGTCAGTCCTACTGAGGGCTGACCAGAGGTCAGTGGAGCTGCTCGGGTGTCTGCAGGGAGGCTGGGGCCTGCTGAGTGCTGCTCCAGCCCTCCCACCTTAATAGCATGGGTGGATCCCCAGGCACCTGACTGCCCTTCTTGACCAGCCTGGGATAGGAGGGCTGCCTCTGTCCCCATAACTGTTTTTTTTGCCACCCACACTTATTTGAGGTTGTGCTGACAGCTTGTTGTTGTTTTGTTTTTGTTTTTTTCTTCTTCCCTTCCCAGTCTACTTTTCGTATTCACAACAGCCAGGGACTTGATACTGATGTATTTTACACCACATTAAATAGTCTGTTGCCTTACTTGTATCTCTGCTGATCGGATTGTTGGATGTTTCTGGATCAGTCTAGTCCTCTCCATTGTTAGGGACTTGTCTGGATCAGCAAAGTGGCCATGGCAGTGTCCTGGCATCCTGCATATTCCAGAATGTCCTGCCTTCTACTTCACCACAAGTTCGGGACCCAGACAGATTACTTGAACTGTTTTCTCTTGCATGGAACATCAAAGGACTTTTAAGTGAATTTTTTTAATTTCAGTATGGTGTGGTGTGCACCTGTAAGCCCCGCACAGAAAGGCTGAGGCGTGATTACTGTGAGTGTAGGGCTACCTTAGACTGTGTCAGCTAGGGTTATAGACTGAAGCTCTGTCTCAACGGAGGGGTGTGCCCTTAATCCAAGGGAAAGACCAGAGGGTTTGCATGTAGTGAGTGTTCCAGGGTGCCATAGTGATACCTTGTCTCACAGAAAAAGTGGGGTGGAGGGGTAGCTGCAAATTTGCTCACTAGATGCAGTTGCTCTGTCCCTAGGACCCACATGGAGGGAATGCATCCCAAGTTGTCTTTTGCTCTCTAAGCACATCTTCACACAGCCACATGTGTGCATATAGTAAATATATATGGCTTTTAAATAATTAGTAGCTAGTGAGAGGGAAGGTTCTTTTAAAGTAGGGGAGGCCCTGAAAAGAACAGAAGTTTAATGACCTCATTTAATAATTGGTTGAACCTGGCATGGTAGAATATGTCTTTAATCCCAGAGGTAGAGTCAGGCAGATCTCTTGTTGAGTTCAAGGCCATCTTAGTCTACATACCAAGTTTCAGCCCAGCCAGGAATCATGAGACCTTGTCTCAATAAAATAATAAAATAAAAAGATTTCCCTACAAACATTTTCCAAGGTGCTCAGGAGGGTGGGGGGAAAGATGAGGTTTATGCCTGGAGTTTAGGCGTCACATTAGGAAATATGAACCAGACCTAGAGGGCAGGCAGGAAGGACCCACTGAAGGAAGATGTTCAAACAGGGAGCTGAGCAGAGGGGTAAGTTATCGGGTCTGTGCCATTGACAACCTATTATGACATTGGCCTTCCTCAGGGGAGTACTCAAAGACTTGGGTTCCTTAATTCAGCTGCTTTCCTGTAGGAGAGAACCTACTGATGGCATCACCCAGCATCTGTCCTCTCTGGGTTGGTTAGACAGAAAAAATATAAGTGTTCAACAACAGCTTTATAGGAGCTTTGCCAGTCAGTTCACTGGCCCAGAAGGGCCTTACCTTGGCCCCTTCTAGACGGGTGGTAGACTAATAATATTCCATGCACACCGCACACCACATTGGTTCCCAAGATCCTCCAGAACGGTGGAGGGGATTCTTTCCTGCTCCAACTCTGGAGCTTCCAAGCAAAGCAGCTCTGCCACAGCTTCTGGCTCCTTGGGAAGGGGCTGAAGGTGGGCACCCTAGAGGTACTTCCGGGCCCTCTGCCACTTGGATGGAGGAGCCTGGCACCACTCCAGCAGCCCTTGTAGGAGAGGGAAGGGGCATCCCCGTTGTCCTCTCCCTCTGGCCCTAGAGTGGTCTGGGTGTTTAAAGCACCGGGGAAAGATTCCTATTTTGGTGTCTCCAGAAGCAACACCTCTGGGTACCCAGCAGCCAGTGGCCCAGGTCAGGGAATCCTGTTGTTGCTAAGGGGAAGATGAATGTATTGCCTAGGTCTGGGCAGCCTGGCTAAGGGTGCTACTCTCCTGTGGCATTGGTTGCTGCTCTGGAGGACTGAGCCAGGAGCTCTGCCAGGTCTTTAAATAGATGCCTCAGTGATGGAGCCTCCCTCCCTCCTGGCCAGCACTACAACCACCAGTTCTGGGTCAGGCTCCTTCAAGAGCTCAGGTTGCCAGGTCGCCTGCCTGCTCTGGTTCTCCCTGCATAGGAGGTGGGGAGAGGTCCTGTCAGTTCATCGGCGCTTACCAGCTAGGAGTGTCTGGATGTGATGGGACAGTGATACTGCCCAGGAATGAGTGAAGATTGGTTATTTTCAATGAAATCGGAATAATAATTATGTCTCAGGACTATAAGGATTAAATGTACATGAAAGGCTTAACAGGGTGCTTGGATACATGGCTGTCTTTGTTTCTTCTGTTGGCTGCTGCTTACCTTTCTTTTATACTTACATATTGCCTATACTGACACATCCATTTATTCCCATCACCCCCCTCCTGCACACAAAGCCACCACCATTTTGTAAGGGATTCCCTCCAAATGCGACAAGGAACGGAAAGTATTTCAAATCCATAACCCGCAACTAACAGAGTCCCCTTAGTTCATAGGGTGAGTCGACCTGAGGACTGTCCTCCGGTTCAGCTCCCTGTGAACCCAAAGAGGGCTACTTTCTCTTTAAATGCAAATCACCTCCAGCCAGCTTAGCTCCCACGAGCTCTAGCTCCAAGGAGGAGAGAGAAAGCAAGGTAGAGAGAGATTACAAAGAAGCTCCATTCCTCATTCCAGACCCCAAACCTCCAGGTCAGTGGCTCCCTGAGGGATGTGGGAAGGGAGTGATGCAGGAGGGGGTGGGGCAACGCGCCTGATGCGCTTTTTTGAAGCCGAGGTTCAGAATTGAGTGATTCCTTGGACACAGCCTCCCTGGCTGAGCACGGACAGCCGATCTGGCTGCTGCTTCCATCAAATCACTTACTGGGTCACACTGCTGCATGGAGAGACAAGTTGTCTCCCTTCTACCCCACCCCAGCCCCATCGATGCCATCCAGCTATTATATGCTGCTGGCATAAATGCTTGTGTTCCTACTCCATCATCGCCATCTCAGGAGTGAAGTGACCAGGCTTTTTGACAATTTGGACTGAGATCCCCTGGAGAGGACTCCAGCAGACCAAATGACTAGGGGGGGGGGCTGCATGGGAGTCAGGATAAGCTGTGCTGGCCACAGTTACAGTTAGTGGTGGAAATCCAACCCCAGAGACTTTCTAACTGGAAAAAGAAGAGACTAGAAGCTGTCCCAGGGAACTTCTAGGTATCCCTGGTATTTGCAGTTGAAGTGGAAGAAGAGAGAATGCCAATATGTAAGGGGGTAAGGTCATGAATCGGTCATTCCTAGTCACTGTGGTTGACAGGTTGACAGTAGAGCCTTTCCAGGTGCCCCTACCTTACCTTGGTCACATCTCATGCCGTCAGTATCTGCTAAATACAGAGTGGGTAGGGGCCTAGTTAAGACGCATCTGACCCTCAGCTGGCTCCCCTAGTCACATCTACTCTGTCTCTGAGCATTTTCTTCTCCAGCCCTGGGCTCTGGGCTGCAGCAACAGGAAAACAGCAAGATGACCCTGATCCACTCCAGCTCTCTCAGGCAGGCCCACGGGACTTTCAGGAAGAAAGGGGCTTTGGGCTGGCCTTGGAAGGTCCTTCAGATGCATAGCCACAGTCCAGCAACAGGCTGGCATCTGGCCCTGTATACACAACAGGACAGAGCTCCTGACAGCTGGACGAGGACATTGCCCCCTCATTATCTTCCTTCCCAGGCCTAAGGTCCAACAAGCACACCATGGATGACAAAAAGAAGAAGCGGAGTCCTAAGCCCTGCCTGGCCCAGCCAGCACAGGCCCCGGGCACACTCCGGAGAGTCCCTGTGCCCACCAGCCACAGTGGTTCCTTAGCCCTGGGACTCCCTCATCTGCCATCACCCAAGCAGCGAACCAAGTTCAAGAGGTGAGTACAGAAAGGATGCTTGGCAAGAATGGAGGACCCTCAACTATGGGCTGAGCACTGTGGGAAGGAAGGCCTTCAGACATTAGCTGCTAAGCAGTAGTTGATGCCTTCCCTGTTCTGGCTCCACATTCACCAGTGATGTAGACCCAATGTTTGCCCTCAAGTGCACAGAGAGAAAACCAGGGAGTGACGGGGACCACATAGAGTGGGGCTGTATCTCTGAAGAGAACGTGAGTGAGTACGAAAGTGAGAGGAAGCTGCTGGACACCCTAGAGAGGGAAGAATATTCAAAGCTGAAAAGCTTGCATGGCATGAAAACAAAGCTATTGCCTAGAAGGCTCCAAGGAGTATTGGGGAATAAATACTTCATGAACGATTTGTCCCCTTGTATTTCATTTTAGTGATTGCCAGGGAATTGAACCCAAGATATTGGGCATGCTAAGCAAGTGCTCTACCATTGAGCTACCTCCCTAGCCCATTTAAATTCTCTGCTCAATTTTTTTATTATTTTTTTTTTTAGAGACAAGGTTCATTTTTGTAGGCCTGGCTGTCCTGGAACTTGCTTTGTAGACCAGGCTGGCCTCAAACTCACAGAGATCTGCCTGCCTCTGCCTCCCAAGTGCTGGGATTAAAGGCATGTGCCACCACACATGTCATAGTGACACAAACCTTAAATCCTAGCATTGGGTGGCAGATGCCGGTAGATCTCTATGAGTTCATAGTGAGACCCTGTCTGAAAACAACAAAACAAAAAAGGAATTTGGATCCTACAGTATAATTGTCCACATTTGTTCCCATAAATACAATGTGTTCTTTTCCCTAGTGTTCTCAATAAGAGCAGTGCCCTGTAGAACTCTGTACCAGCTGCCTGACCAGCATGTACCAGCATGGCTGTAGTAGTAGGCTGTACCTGAGCTCAGGATACTTAACAATAGTAGGAAATGCGGCTGGAGAGGAAGGAAGGCCTGGCTGGTTCAGTGTTACTCTGGGGAGACGGAATGTATTACCCTGCTTCTCCCAGAGCCACACCTGCAAGGAGCTGGAACATTCAGAACAGTTTTTGCAACAAGAGCAGGAAGATTTTTGGTGGGAGGTGCTTTGTTGGCAGTGAAGAAGGAAACTCGGTAAAGGCCAAGACCAAGTGACCCATCGAGAATCCCAGGGGCTGCAGGGGCTCTCAGACAGGAGGCTGGGTCAATCTCCCTGCAGGCGCAGCTCTGGCTGCAGCATCCATGGAAACAGAGTTCTTTCTGTCCTCTTCCTTTCTCCCCTTCATTAGCTCCATTCCCTCTACCCATCCCACTGCTCAGGGCAAGACCTGAGAACAAACACCCATTTGTGCTGGTGAGTGGGTAGGGCAGAGGAAGTAGTGCAGAGAGAAAGGGCACAAGAGATCCCGACACCCGTGACCACGGGCATGTCCACTTCACCCAGAGTAGGCAAGGAGAAATGCCGACCGGTGCTGGCTGGAGGTGGGGGCGGCTCTGCAGGCACACCCCTGCAACACTCCTTCCTGACCGAAGTGACAGATGCCTATGAGATGGAGGGGGGACTGCTGAACTTGCTCAACGACTTTCATTCGGGCCGCCTGCAGGCCTTTGGTAAGTTCAGGGCAGGATGGATCTGTGGGTGGGGCTGGAGGTCCTGGTCTGGGGGCATGCTGGGGTTAGGGTCCCGGGCTGGCTCCTAAACTCAGGAGTTGTCCAGGGAAGGAATGCTCCTTCGAGCAGTTGGAGCATGTGCGGGAGATGCAGGAGAAGTTGGCCAGACTGCACTTCAGCCTGGATGTGTGTGGGGAGGAGGAGGACGAGGAAGACGACGACGATGGGGTCACGGAGGGCTTGCCTGAGGAGCAGAAGAAGACAATGGCTGACCGCAACCTGGACCAGCTGCTTAGCAATGTGGGTCAGAAAGCTGGCTATTTTGGATCCTCGGGACACCAAGGGTGGAGAGGGCACAGGCTCCCAAGTCTCCCAGTGAAAAGTTGGGGGTACATGAACCCAAGAGCTGTGAGCTCCTCAAGCTGAACGGGTAGGGCTTCCCCCTAAGATCCACATTTGTTCTGGGTTCCCTCCTGACATAAGCCTCCTTTTCTCTCTATTGACAGCTAGAAGATCTTAGCAATTCCATGTATCCTTTCCAAGGGCCTTAATAGGGCTCATGTGTCTTTCAGGAGAGAGAGAAATGAGGGATGGGAATCAGTTTCTCCCTCCCTGCCTCCCTTTCTGCGTATTCATAACGTAACAAATATTCCCATCTCCTGCAGTCCTGACTAAAGAGTTAGTCACAAACTATCCCCACTTGAGAAGAGGAATGTAGAATTTCCCAAATCCTAAGAGAAAAACATCATGTGTGGTGGCACAAAACTTTAATCCTCGCATTCAAAAAGCGGAGGCAAGCCCTGGCATGATTAAAATCTTTGAAGCTGACACAAGGCTAGTGATGTTCTCCTACCCTTTCAGCTTTTCATAATGATCCTTACTTAGATTGTGGCCTGGTGTGGTGGCACTGGACACACACACACAGCGCCTGTGCAGGATGGGAAGGCAGGTGGAAACACTGGGGTCCAAAGCGTCACAGTCCTTGACTGGCACAGACAGAAGCTGCACTTGGCAGAGAATGCTGAGCCTGAGGAGCAGCCAGCATCGTAGGTGTCGGAACCAGGCCTAGACTGCTTCCCTCCTTCCCTTCAAACTGTGACTTTTTACGGACTACTCGGGAGGGTATTCCGCAGCCCCCCAGGTGCTATGAGGTGGGGGGCACTGGATGGAATTAAACAAACAGAAAAGCGACTCCTTTCCGGCGTCATCCTTGCTCTCACTGCGCCGCACATTAGGCCGGATCCAGTTGCGTAGGTGGGTCGGAAACCTAAGCCAGGCGCCGGACCCTGGAAACGGCGGGCGGGGCCCTGCGTTTGCGCATGCTCAAGAGCGCTGCCTGAAGACGCACCGCGCAAGCGCACGCATGCGGACGACGCACAGCACAGGGCGGTTGGCGACGTGATGGAGCCGGGCCTATTTCTTCACAAGGTGTCGACATTGCAGGTCGTGATGGAGCTGCTAGTACACCTCGGGTCAGGGACCGGGACTTTCGGCAAATGCAGCCGTCACATCACTATATCACGTCCCTTGCCCGCACTGTACTGAAGAATGCCCAGCTGGGGCGGGGTTGGGGGAAGAGCGAGCGGGAGGGTCCAGCCCAGCACTTCTCACCTCCCAGAGCTCCGAAACACGGTTGCCCGTCCCTTCCCCATGACCGTGTTTTCTCTGGCAGTCCCCGATGATCTCTCCAGAAACATCCAAGATCTCTCTTTTGTGCTAGAGATGTAGCTCGAGCGCTTAACTTGTATGTTCAAGGCCCTGGGTTTGATTCTCCAGCCGCCAACAACCACCAAATCGAGTGTGCTTGCCAGGATGCCCCTTTCCTTACTTTTTTCTTTTCTCTCTGTGTGTGTTGTTGTTTTTTGAGACAGGGTTTCTCTGTGTAGTCCTGGCTGCTTTGGAATTCTCTGTGTAGAAAAGGCTGGCCTTAAACTCAGAGATCCACCTGCCTCTGCCTCCCAAGTGCTGGGATTAAAAGCGTTCGCCACCATTCCTGGCTCAAGATACCCCTTTTGTAAACGTGTTAAGAGATATTTTCCTCGCTTGTTCTCCACATTAGGCCTGTATCCGGGGCTTCTTGGTCAGACGTCAATTCCAGAGCCTTCGAGCTGAGTACGAAGCAATTGTACAGGAGATCGAGGGTGACCTCAGCACACTTCAGTGGACTGGGGGCTGGATTCCCAAGCCCGTATTTCTCCCAGAGGTAGTACACACCCCAGGGGGAAGAGGAAAGGAGAACCTGGTGCAGGGTTCTGGGGATTGGTGAGATTGATTTTATGTGTATGGGTGTTTTGCCTGCTGTCTCTGTCGCATGTGTATGCGTGGTGCCCCCAAGGTCAGGTTCACTCTCACACCCCAATCCTTAGCTCTACCTCTTTGCCCACTGGACTCTGGTTTCCAGACATCTGTGGGGGTTTAGCCCTTTGATTCTCATACCTCTGATTTTTCACAAGGCAAAATCTCATCGCTCCTGGAAAGCAGAGAAAATACCAAACCCAGAGCAGAAACTATGGAGCCATTTCCCATGTAAAGACTCTGAAAAAGATGTCATCTTGGAGGAGATGGTGTTGAAGAAGACAGGAGGGAGCCCAGCAGAACCAGGAAGTCTTTGCCAAGATGACAGCCTCTGGCTTCAGGCTGAGCAGGGCAGGAAAGCCAGCCAGGGGAAGACCAGAGATAGCTCCATGTCCCAGGTGGACAATGCAGGTACCTCTCTGCCTAGATCAGGGCAAGCCTGATCTCTGGGCCTCAACCTCCCACCTGAAACCTGGAAGGATGTGCAAGAGAAGTTGCAGCCTTCCTCACGCCTCCCCCTGCCTGATGAGCATGGAGGGCTGCCAGGATCTGGGCTGGACTTGTTCCCAGTGTCTACCTCTCAAGACCTTCTCCTCCTTTTTCTCCTTTCTTCAATGACATCACAGATCTCGGGCTGTCCCAGAGCCAACATGAGCTCCAGGACCAGCGCAACCATCTGGCCATGGAGCTACTATGGCTGCAGCAGGCCATCCGCAGTCGAAAGGAGGTAGGCACTAACTGAGAACCCTTTCTAAGCAGGTCGGGGTGGGGAGAGGCCTTGTGCCAGGCCTGAGCAAGCTTGCTTTTCTTCTTTCCTAACAGTACCTAATTCTCAAGCAAACACTGAGATCCCCAGAAGCAAGCCAGACCAGAGACAAGCCTAACATGTGCCTGGACACCCAGGGTCAGGCCTGTGAGAAGGCCTGGTTACAATCAAGCTGCCTCCTTAAGGACCAGTGCTGTAGAGACAGGACCATAGGAGAGCCACACCATACAGATGACTCCTGCCACGAGGGCAAATTCCAGCCACAGAAATCCCCAGACAGGCTAGCTGGTACAGGCAAAGACAAGATTTGGGCTAAGGGCAGGGAACTATGCTATAGGAAGGCTGGACCACAGCTGCCCGCAGCATTAGAGAGCCAGGCTGGAGGGGACAGGGTCACCAGAGGACCAGACCACAGAGGACAGGCCTTGAATGAAACCTGCCTGCAGCAGTTGAAACTCGTAGAGGATCAGACCCCTGGGGACCCTGAGTCTTGGCGTCCTTGTTCTGGAAAGACAGCGACACAGCTGCCCACACCCTGTGAAAACCCAAACACTGGGGACAGATGCTCCAGGAAGCCAAGCTACAGAGAAGCTGACTGCCAAAGAGCCAGGCCAGATGCTTTGAGTATCACAGAAGATCACGTGATTTGGGATGGAACGTTGGCAGGGCTGGAACATCTCAGAAGGACTAAACCACCCAAGAGCCAGCACCCCAGTGTTAGAAGTTCCAGCCATGGAACTACCAATGAGCTTAGTCAGGAAGGATGGGAAAACCGGAGGACTCTGCTGTGGAGATGAAGATCTTCGGAGAACTTGTATTCCACAAGAGAGGACCAGTGGAGGGCAGACCATGGAAAGCAGGACCATCAGGCAAGACCTGGGGATCCGGGAGAGGAATAGGTTCCCAAAGGGGATGCTATGAAAAGGTGATAAGGGGCCTGGTTCCACCTCTTTCTCCTGCCCTTGCTCTTGGCCATTGGTAGCTGTCAGGCCAAAGTGCAGGATTGGATTGCGCTGGAACAGTAGGAGAAAGATGGAGGGCATGCCCAGTTATCCTCTGCCTGTGGCTTAATCCAGGTTTCACCTTCCCTCGGGTAAGGTGGGAGGGTCGTAGAGAATAAAAGTTTTTCTTAGGTGATGAGTCTGTCTGCTTTTCTTTTCTTTTTTTTGGCGGGGGGGGGGGGGGGGGGGGGGTTGTTTTGGTTTTTCAAGACAGGGTTTCTCTGTATAGTTTTGGTGCCTGTTCTGGATCCAGATCTGTAGACCAGGCTGGCCTCGAACTCACAGAGATCCACTTGCCTCTACCTCCCAAGTGCTGGGATTAAAGGCGTGCGCCACCACCGCCCGGCCTGTCTGCTTTTATCTCCTGTTTCTGACCCGGACAGGTTTGGGTCATCTGGTTCATCTCTCCCTCACATGACACATCATCCCCAAAGCCAGCTAGCAGCCATGGCCAAAGCACCGTTAGCCCTCCTTGGGGAGCAGCTGTCAGGCTGATCACCCCCTGGTCTCAGTTCAAAGGAACCCAAGTCCTGGAGAAGCCTGGACATCTGTGTGGGAATCTCTCTTCCTCTCACTGAACCCAAGGCCTCCCTTTTGTAATGTGAGCAGACTGGGCTGGAAAGACAGCTCAGTGCTAGTGTTTGCCTAACAAAGGGCCAGGGTTTGATCCCAGCTCTGCAAGCAAATGAAAAAAGTGATCCTATCTACCCTGCTCTTGTGAGGCCCATCAAGTGCAGATCTGAGACCTTGCATTCAGGAAAATGCTCCTGTCCAAGGTGCTTGAAGCCTTCCTGCATAAGAAGGCAGGACCTCACCTTTGGCACAGCTCCCAGCCCTGGCTTAGTTGCTTGGCAACTGCTCTGTGTCTGTGAGTGAAGATACACCATGGCAGCCAAGAGAGTACTGGTGTATCGAAATGGGGACCCTTTCTTCCCAGGCCGCCAGCTGGTGGTGACCCAACGCCGCTACCCCACCATGGAGGCTTTCCTTTATGAGGTGACATCAGTGGTGCAGGCCCCACTGGCTGTACGTGCCCTCTACACACTGTGTGACGGCCACCGAGTCACTGACCTGGCTGACTTACAGAATGGAGGGCAATACGTGGCTGCTGGCTTTGAACGATTCCACAAGCTCCAGTGAGTCGGTCAGGGGAGGCCAAAGTGCCTAGGGAGGGTGGTGGGAGCAGTAGTGCATCCAGTACTTACCTCCAAGTTGACAGGCTCGTTGTCCCAAAACCTGGGGAGAAGCTGTACTCTAAGAGCGTAGGAGCACAGTGAGAAAGCTGCCTGAGGCTACATGGTCAAAGATGAGTTGTAACTCAGCTTGCCTTCTGTTACTACAGTTAATGCCCACCACAACCAGGACCAGCCTGTGGGGACAATTTTGCACGTTGAACTTTATTTAGGAATTATTCTCCCTTCCACTCCCCACCCCTCATCCCGGCCCGCCTTCCAAGACAGGGTTTCTCTGTGTAGCCCCGGCTGTCCTGGAACTCACTTTGTAGATCAAGCTGGCCTCAAACGAAGAGATCTGCTTGCCTCTGCCTCCCAAGTGCTGGGATTAAAGACCTGGGTCACCACACCTGGCCAAGGATTTATTTTCTGTTTCTGAGGGTTTTGCCTGCATGTAAGTGCCCTGTCATGCCTGGTGCCCTTAGAAGCCAGAAGTGGGTGCCAGATCCCCTGACCCTAGAGTTAAGGATGGTGGTGAGCCACCATGTGAGTGGCAGAAACTCAGCCCAGGTCCTCTGCAAGAGCAGAGTGCACGCAGCTGCCTCACTGCCTCGCCAGCACTTTTAATCTTGGTGTGTGTGTGGACACAAGTGTGGGTGCTATCAGAGGCTGTCCGATCCCCTGGACCTGGAGTTACAGTTGTTTGTAAGCCAGCTGATGTGGGTACAAGGAGATAACTCAGATCCTCTGGAAGAGCAGTAAGTAGTCTAAACTGCTTAGCTAACCCTCCAGCCCTTTTAATGTGTGTGTGTGTGTGATGGCAGGTGTGCACAGGGCAGGAAACACTCACCAGAGTCGCTACCCTCCTTCCTCCACGTGGCTCTAAGGCGGTCAGGCTTTGGCAGCCCAGGGCCTTTGCCTGCAGAGCCGTCTCTGCAGGCCTGAGAGTGTTGACTAGTCCTTGCCAACACCATCACCAAACACTGAAACTGGCCACCACTTCCTCCCTGCTGTACTTAGCACCTGAAACTCCTGTTAGACTAGGCTCATCTCTTTCTGCAAGATGAGACTGTCTTCCAAAGTGGAAGAAAACTGACCTGAGCTTCCAACCCAGGCCTAGCTTCCCCGTCCTACCTGAGCACCCAGCTGGGGGAGTTCACTACAAGGAAGGAACACGGTGTCTGGACTTAGGCACTTCCTGTGGAATTTTGAACAAGTCACTTTTTTGACTTTGATACAAAATGAAATTAAAATCACCCTCATGAATGGGGAATTTCTGGGCTATAGTAAGATACTTAAGGCTTGCCCTCAGCCTTCAATAATGTGGCGTACCTAAGAGCCACATGGATTTATAGCCGGACTCAGTTCTTTGAGATCCTAAGGCAAGTTCATATTTCCACATGTTCCTGGCCCAAAAAAGAGTGCTCCAGTGAGGTGGGACACTTAGGGTGCTGGGCAGCTAGTGGAAGATGGCTTCATCCTACAGAGAGAGGACAGTCCTAGCCTAGAGTTTGAGATGCTTGGCTAAAGCAGGGAGAAAGCATGAAGACATGATTGTTTGGTGGTGATGGTGGATAGGAGACCAAATAAGAGATTTTGGAGTCAGGCTGGTGTCTACATGGGAGGTGGAGATGGGTGGGTCAGAAGTTGAAGGTCACCTTCAGTTACACACTGAGTAAAGGCTAGCCTGGACTACTTGGGAAACTCCACTGTCTCATCTCAGTCTCACTTTGGAATGCTAGATCTTTTCTTTCTTTTTTCTTTTTTTTTTTTTTTTCTTTCTGTCTTTGTAGCCCTGGTTGTCTTGGAATCACTCTGTGGACCAACCAGGCTGTTCTTGAACTCAGAGATTTCTGCCTCCCAAATGCTGGGACTAAAGGTGTGAGCCACCAACAGTAGGCCTGGCCTTAGGAGTGCCACCGCACACACATCCCATCTCATTAGTCAGGGAAAAGTTCAACCTGCGGAATGGTCTCCTCAGACTAGCCCTGCAGTGATGAGATCTTGGCTGTGATGGGCATAAGCCTGGCCAGCCCGGGTTCCGACTCCCTCAGGTGACCTGGGACCTATCTGTCCTTTCAGCTACTTGCCTCCTGGAAGGAAACCCCCAGGTGGGAAGAGCAGCCATCAACATGTAAGTCCAGGGGAGACTCCACAGCTCTGTCATCCATCCCATCCCTCTTAGAACAAGTGTCCTGAAGGCAGCAGGATTTGTGGAGTCTGGGGCACATCACACCCACTCCAGAACCTGCTGCTGTCCTGGGTCATCCCCCGATTCTTACCTAATCTCCAGGTCACAGTCCCCAAAGGAAAGGGTAAGTTGTGAAACCCAAGGCCAAAGGACAGGAGTTGTGTGACTCAGAGAGTACCCTCCAGAGAGGTGTGAGCAGACTCATCCCTGCTCACTCGCTCTCCTGCACAAGTTTGGTTCCTGCCTGCTCACTCGCTCTCCTGCACAAGTTTGGTTCCTGCCTGCTCACCCCATGTTCTTAGAACCAGCCAGTCCCAACCAAAGTCCTGGACTTTCTCCTGACTTGAAGGCCTGACTTGGATTTCAGGAGCCTTTCATGTCTCACCGGCCATGTGATGGGGCCTTTGGACAGTGGCTGCCAGCAGACGCCCCCTGCTATATCCAGTGAGTGCCAGCATCAGGGAGTGGGGGTACACATTTGTGCCTTGGTGAGACCAAGAAAATGGCAGTGGGTTTTTCCAGGAGCCCCATGACAAGTGGGAAGATTAAAATCCCAACATCTCAGTGGTTCCTATGCCCCTTTCACATGTGGAGTCTTGGAGACCCATCCCCTACCTGGCTGTTCTTTGTCTCAGTGTGTTCAGGAATGGGGACCTACTAAGTCCCCCCTTTGGTCTGAAGCTGCCCCAGACTGTCATCCAGGACTGGGAAATGGTACTGAAGCTGCTGACCGAGAAGGTCAAGTTACAGAGTGGGGCTGTACACAAGTGAGTATGACCACAGGGGAGGCCGGGCACCCCAAGAGCCCACAGTTTTTGTCTGCTCTTAAAAGTTGAAAAGAGCAAAGGAAGGCATGTTCTCTCCAGCAGGACTTCCTCCGGTGCCTCAGGGGAGGGGTTTCCTAGCCCAGCCCTTGTTCAAGTCAGACAGAGCCCAGGTTAACATTGCCCAGAGGACCAAAGTCAGAGGGTCCCCAAAGGAGCTGTATCTACCTCAGCACCTGCTGGGTAGACAGCAGCCTGTTATCTCACCTCCTCCCAGACTCTGCACCCTCAAGGGGCTCCCGCTGTCAGCAGGGGCTGCTCTGGTGAGCGGCCATCACTATGTGGCAGTTGGAGAAGAGGAGTTCAAAGCCCTCCCCTATGTGGAGCTGTTGGTGCCCGGCCCCGCTCTGGCCAGGGGCTGCTGGTATGTTTGAGGTGGAGGGTCGCAGGCCACAGCACAGGAAGTACTCTCTGGCCTGGGAGCTGGGACTGTGTTCTCCTCTGCCCACTACAAACCTTCCTTTCACTGCAGGTATCCTCCAGGCCGGAAGTCTGAGTGCCACAGGCAGAGGGTAGGTGACAGTGGGACGGGGGAGTGACCAGCTGGGGATTCTGGCCTCACCCCATCCTGGGAAGTAGTGATTTCCCTTTCTTGGGGTAGGAACTGAAGTTCGCAAGCATAAACAAGACTCATTCAGGGGGACAGTTATCGAGTGGCACACGCCATGCTGACTGCCTCCCCACAGGTTGGCTGTGGGAGCTGGCTCCTTGGCGCAGCAGGGCCCAAGGGAACCTCCATTTTCCCAGATGAGCCAATGAGTGTGTGGCACCGTTTCACTGGCATCTTTGGATGCCAGCGTCAACTGGATAGACACACCTACAGGAACAGAGGCAGGCGGGAAGGATGCAGACTCTGAAGATGGGCACACGGCCTCTCGCAAGCCTGCACAGGCGTCAGGGCACACTGGGGAGCAGGAGACGTAAGAACAGTCTACAGACGGGGTTCTCACTCAGTGTCCCTTCTGTAGGCCCACGGCCACAAGGCCCAGGCAGCCCAGTCTTCTGCAAAGGAACCTGGACAAACTGAGCCATCCACTTTCTATGTCAGAGCCCGGCAGTCTGTCCAGCCACCAAGCAAGCCTTTTCCTCTTTCACATCCATCAGGTGAGGGCTCCGGGGCTGGACCCTTCACATCACTCCCCTATGCTCACACATGCTAGGGATGCATGGGAGCTCAGGTCAGTCATCAACACAGGATGGTCTTGCACTGCAGGGGGATGTCTGCAGGGGAGAATGCTTCAGCAGAGCTCCACGCCACTCTTCTATTCGCATGTCCTTGCTCCTTTCATAGGGACTTATATAAACAGAAAAGACCGTGCTTAAGCCATAAGGTTCAGAGGTGGGACTTAGAGCTGGGAGCTAAAGGCTGGCTTCTAGCTTCCCTGCCATCCTCTGAGGTGTTGGAGAACGTGGGACAAGGCTCAGGGGAAGGAACTAGGGGAGCAGGTGAAGGCACCTAAGGCTGTGGACCCCGTCAGCCTGGGCATCGACCAATGTTGCCTCCTTGTTAGGAGTTAAGGGAGTTTATGAGGCTTCCCACCCAAGGAAGGAAACAGCCGGGGCTCAGGAAGTGGCTGATGATGAGAACACCTACACAGAAGAGCCTGTGGATCAGGTAAGCCCATCAGCTTGGGACACCTTACACTGAGATGGGCAGGGGTCTGAGCTAAAGTCGGGGCTCCCAGGACACCATCTTCCCAGTGACTGAGCAGATCAAAACCTGAAAGCCTGCCTTCTTGTTTCCTAATTCCCGAGGCTTTCTAATTTCCAGCCTCCTTTCCTGGGTTGGGGACCTCTGGCAGGGGATGCAAACTGGGCATCCACATGGCTGTATGTCTCCACATGTCCACCAGAGGGCAGCAGAGACACTGGAAGAGGCCTTGTCCCCCAACATCCGCCGGGGCCTGTAGCTATCCTCATGCTCAGCCCAAGCTGGTCCATCTTCAGTGCCAGGAACTCCAGACAGAAACTGAGGACAGCCACTCCCAGCTCCCCCCGCCCCAGCTTTCAGCAGCCTGGTCCTGAGAAACCATGACTCACGGGGCTCCTCGCAGTAGGTACGGCCTCCTCAGCCCCTCCCCATTCATAAGCCTGGCTACTTCCTTATGAGATTCCCTGCAGAGAAAGGCACTGCAGACTGGGTTCAGGAGAAGGCTTGTCATAATAAAGTAACATTTGCTGAGCTTTGTTTGCTGCACATTTACTGAAAGCTGCTACAGGTATTTGCTGCAGCTTGGCGCTGCTTGGCACACAGCTGTCTGCTCACTTGAGGGACTGGCAGGTGAGCATTTTTGCCCAGGGCAAGCTCATTTTTCTCCCACTGCATTCTGCTGTAATCACTCTCCCTGAATTCCACCCCAAGTCAGTCAAGAGACTGTAGTGGGGTTGCGGAAGCCTCCAGACACACAGTCCTGGTTCAGAGACTGCAGCCAGCCCTTTCCATGTAGTGGAGGCTCTGTGGACTCTGATATTAGAGCAGGCCAGCAGGCCAGGGGAACAGTGCCTGAGATGACAGCAGGCAGAGGCTGCTGGGGCGGAGGCTGCTGGGCGGGTGTACAGTCTCCAGTGCTATATCAGTCTCCTCCCTCTAATGCAAGGTTTCTCTGTAGCCCCGGCTGTCCCAGAACTCGATCTGTAGACCAGGCTGGCCTGGAACCCAGTGATCCGCCTGCCTGCCTCTGCCTTCCGAGTGCTGGGATTACAGGCACGCGCCACCACTCCTGGGTCCAGTGCTAAATCTCAACAACAGCCGAACCCACCAAAGGTTACAAACCTTCCCAGGGCTGCACTTCTTCTTTGTTCTTTTCTTTTCTTTCTTTCTTTTTCTTTTGGTTTTTTGAAACAGGGTTCTCTGTGTAGCCTTGGCTGTCCTGGAACTCTGGACCATGCAGTTCTTATTGTGACTCTGAGGTAGATGTGATCCCAGAGATGAGGAAGCTAAGCTCAGAGAGGCCAGCTGGTGTATCCCCCTGCAGCACCTGCTGAGCACAGCAGAACTGAAGGCCAGGCTTGGCCCGCTCAAGAGGAGGTCGGCTGGCCCTGGGTCTTGGTCACTGAGCTTGAGACGCATAGTGTGATCCCCGTGACGGTGAGCACCATGCCAGCCACTGCTTCTGAGGTAAAGAAAACATCAAGGGGTCAGGGGTCAGCAGGGTCAGGGAAGAAGATTGATGGTGCCTGGTCCTGATTCCCACCCCAGCCTCTGTCCCCAGATTGCCCAGGGGAAGGGAACTGATGGTCACAAGCAGGAGAGCTGCTGCAGAGCAAAGGGCAAGGTAAGGGAGGCCTCTCTCCTCTCTCTTCTCTCCACCCATGGCAGACAGACTGGGGAAATGCTCACATATGTCAAGATAAGGGAGGCCTCTCTCTTCTCTCTTTCCTCTCCCACCCATGGCAGACAGACTGGGGAAATGCTCACATATGTCAAGGCCCAAGCAGCTATCTATCTATCCCTGACATGTAGCAGCCTGACTTACGTTTTCCACCAATGTCTTCTCCAAGGACCTTCCCAACAATCAGTGTGAAGACAATGGCCAGGGAGTTACAGATGGGCACAGCTAAAGTCAGATCTGGGAAGTCAGAGCAAGAAAAACCCTAGATGCAAAGAATGCCTTCCTAGGGACAAAATTTTGCGAAATTTCCTCCTTCCTCTCCCCTTCTTCCTTATCATCATCACCATCCCCACCTTTACAAAAGCAGTACAAAACAGACATGTTAGTATACTTAAGTCAACCACTCTGGGGGCCAGGTGGTGGAGCACACCTTTAATCCCAGCACTTGGGAGGCAGAGGCAGGAGGATCTCCCCAGGACAGCCTGAGCTACAGAGAAACCCTGCCTCAAAAAAAAAAAAAAAAGAAAAGAAGAAGAAGAAAAGCAAACAAACAAAAACATCACCCTGGAGGCAGAAGCAGGCAGATCTCTGGGAGTTCAAGACCAGCCTGGTCTACCTTAGGAGATTCTGGACAGACATGGCTACACAGTAAGATTCTGTCTCAAAAATAAATAAAACAGCCAGGTAGTGGTGGCACATGTCTTTAATCCCAGCACTCAGGAGGCAGAGCCAGGCGGATCTTTGTGAGTTTGAGACCAGCTTGGTCTACAGAGTGAGTTCCATGACAGCCAAGGCTACACAGAGAAACCCTGCCTCGAAATAAATAAATAAATAAATAGATAGATAGATAGATAGATAGATAGATAGATAGATAAAAAAAAAAAAACAAAAAAACAAAAACCAGAGTATCATGGGGCAGATGTTAGGGAACGAACCATAATCCCAGCAACCAGGAGGCTGAAGCAGGAAGATCTCAAGCTGGAGGCCAGCCTGGACCACATAACAAGATGCTATTAAAGGGGGGTGTCCTGGGGAGATGCTTGTCAGTAAAAAGCCTGCCATGAAGCCCCGAGATCTGAGTTTGGATCACCGCAGCACCTGTGTAAAAGTTGGGCAAGGTGGAATGTGTCTATAACCTATGTTGGAGATAGGGGTAGCAGAGATGGGTGGAGCCCTGGAGCTAGCTGGCCAGCCCAGGAGAGACAACCAGTAAGCTCTGGGATCAGTCAGAGACCCCGAGAGCCCGTAGTGGAGGGTAATTCAGAAAGACACCAAACATGGACCTTAGCTTCCACATGCAGACACAAACATGCACTCCCCCATACACCACACACACAAGATTTAAACACAAACATGCACTCCCCCATACACCACACACACAAGATTTAAACACAAACATGCACTCCCCCATACACCATACACACAAGATTTAAACACAAACATGCACTCCCCCATACACCACACACACAAGATTTAAACACAAACATGCACTCCCCCATACACCACACACACAAGATTTAAACATAAACATGCACTCCTCCATACACCACACACACAAGATTTAAACATAAACATGCACTCCCCCATACACCACACACACAAGATTTAAACATAAACATGCACTCCTCCATACACCATACACACAAGATTTAAACAAAAAGCAAGGCCAGAAAGCAAGTGCACAGTTGTACTCCTAGCACACAGGAGGCAGAGGCAAGAGGACTGCTTCAAGTTCAAGTCCAGCCTGGTCTACACACTGAATTCTATCCAGGCCAGCAAGGGTTACAAGGATGCCGTTCCAAACAAACAACACGGGAGAATGAGCTCACTTCCATAGAAGAGATGAAGGCTCATTCTGGGTGAAGTCCAGATTTCCTGCCTCCAAGTTCAGGACTTCCTCAGGACCACCATGAAGACCTGACCTCTGAGGTATGAGACCAGCCAAGTTGTTTTCTTTCTTTCTTTTTTTAAAAAGATTTATGTACGTAAGTGTTTTGCTTTTATGCATGTGTGATGCATGTGGGGGTTAGATCCTTCTGGAACAATGTGAGCTATCATGTGGGTGCTGGGAATTGAAGAGGGGTCCTCTGGTAGAGTAAGTTCTTTTAACCACTGAGCCAGCTCTCCAGCCTGGTTACATAATAAAAATGAGATCTTGCTAGGTGCAGTAGCTCACACGTGTATTCCCAGCACTTGGAAGGCTGAGACAGGAAAACAGCCAGGAGTGTAAGGTCAGCCTGGGCTAGAGAGTGAGATCATTTCAAAAACAACAGCCATGCCAGGAAGTGGTGGCACACACTTTTAATCCCAGCACTTAGGATGCAGAGGCAGGCATCTCTGTGAGTTCGAGGCCAGCCTGTCTACAGAGTGGGTTCCATGGCTCCACAGTGAAACCCTGTCTGCCAAAAAACAAAACAACAAGAGACTTTATAAAGATTAATTTATGTGTATGAGTATTCTGCCTGCAGAAACATATGTGCACCGTGTGTGTGATGCCCACAGAGATGAGAAGGCTCCAGATCACCTAGAACTGAAGTTACAGAGAGTTATAACCCAACATATGGGTGCTGGGAGTGAACCCAGCATGTGCTCTTAACCTTTGAGTTATGTCTCATAATAAATAAAAAATTTATTATGTGTGTGCATGGGTGCATTAGTGTTCCTGTGCACATGATGAGGTCGTGTGTGTGTGTGTGTGTGTGTGTGTGTGTGTGTGTGTGTGTGTGTGTGCGTGTGCATTAGTGTTCCTGTGCACATGTTGAGGTCATCCAACAGCTTTTGGGAATTGGTTCTCTCCTTCCATGTGGCTCTTCTAGATCAGAGTCAGCTTGCTGGACTTGGCAGCAAGCATCCTACCCACTGACCCACCTCACCCATACCTACATAGAGAGTTTGAGGCCAGCCTCTCTCAAAAAGGAAAGAAACCATAAGCTCTCAAGTCTATGACTTCAGTCTATTTCCTTTATGCCAAATGGTGATAATATTCTTGCAGTGTGTGAAAATGCATTACAGTACATACAGCTTGATAACAGGAGCTGAGCCCCGAGCTCTCACACTCATTCTGCCGTATCCTTTGCAGCCTGTCTGTCCTGATGACCTTGAAATCTAGGTTGTCTTTGAGTGTGAAGAGACAGGACTGTCTCAAAAACCAGAGAGGAAGCAGTACAGAGTAAACGTAATAACGCCATGAGACAAAAAGTAGATTGATAAAAGTGGGTTAATTTAAGTTGTAAGAGCTAGTTAGTAACAAGCCTAAGCTATTGGCCAAACCTTTATAATTAATAAGAAGTCTATGTGTGGTTTTTTGGAAGCTGGCTGGCAGGAGAGAAAATTCCACCAACAATAAATAAATAACTTCAGAAATAGCTAGATGCAGCCAAGGGATAGTAAGTTCAGCACTGCTCCCCATCAGGAATTACATTAGTTGAGAGGCTTTAGTGGGAGGATGGGGTAGAGTGGGTGTATGTACAGTGGCATGCTTGTGGAGGACAGAGGACAACTTGCAGGAATTGGTTCTCTCCTTTAACCTTTTAGGTTCCAGGGATCAAAGTCTGGTCATCAAGCTTGGAGGTGGGTGCCTTTTCCTGTGGAGCCCTCTCCTTCTGTTTCTGTAGAACAGGCTCTCAAGTACCTCAGGCTACTCCTGCTAAAGTTATTATATTCCTGCTTCTCCTGCCTCCACTTCCTAAGTACTAGAATTATAGTTGTTAACCACCACGGAGGGCATATTTGGTGCTGAGGACTGTCCCCAGGACTTTGTGCGGGCAGGGGAAGCAAGCACTCTACCAAATGAACTCCATTCCCAGCCTAATTGATGTCTTATGAGTACTTGTTCTCTCTAATTGAAACTCAAGTATCAGACCTGGAGGCCATCATACCAGGCCCTCTCCTCCCTTTGGGGCTATGGACTCTAGGGTGGGCAAAACCACAGCAAGGAGGCTTGCAGAAGTCCAAGAGCATGCATCTGGGGGTGGGTTTCTTGTTGGTTTTTTGAGACAGGCTGGCCTAGAACTAAGTATGTCCATGGATGTCCATGAACTTGTAACAATCTTCCTGCCTCAGCCTCCACTTCCCAGCTTATAGCCATTAATCTATAGCTTGGAATCCCTTGGCACTAGCATGCTGCTGGGGTTAAGGCAAGCCTGGAAATTGCCCAGTGTTATTTTTTTGTTTTTTTGTTTTGTTTTTTCGAGACAGGGTTTCTCTGTGTTGTTTTGGTGCCTTTCCTGGATCTGGATCTGTAGACCAGGCTGGCCTTGAACTCACAGAAATCTGCCTGGCTCTACCTGCCGAGTGCTGGGATTAAAGGCGTGCACCACCACTGCCCGGCTAGTGTTATAATTTATGAATATAAACCTTTTTTGCTTCAGAAGGTCATGATATAAATATGTACCCTGATGTATTAGGAGCAGTCAACATTTGGAGGAAGGAAATGTATATTTCTCGAGCCTTTACTGTATGTCAGGTACTCTGCCGGATTCTTCTCACACACTGAATCAATCTTCACAATGAGACGAGGCCCCATATAAAACCAAGATTCAAATAAGGGGCTTACTCTAGGCCAGGTAAGCAGTGAACAGAGGGATCAAAGGCTGATGCCTCCCATTCCTGGGTGTTTGATGAACACCTGTAATCCCAGCACTTGGGATTAAGAGGCATGAGGATCATGATTTGGAAGCCAGCCTGAGTTAGACAGTGAGACTCCATCTCTAAACAACTAACAAGGGCCAGGGAGATGCTCAGTGGGTAAAGGCACTTGCCATCAAGATTGATGACCTGGGTTCATCAGAGAATCTACAAGGTAAAAGGAGAGAGCCTCTTCCCAAACTTGCCCTCTATACACACATATTCAGAGAGAGAGAGAGACAGAGACAGAGACAGAGAGAGAGAGAGAGAAACTAAATGCAATAAAAAATAAAATAAGCCGGGCAGTGGTGGTGCACGCCTTTAATCTCAGTACTTGGGAGGCAGAGCCAGGGGGATCTCTGTGAGTTTGAGGCCAGCCTGGTCTACAGAGTGAGTTCCAGGACAGCTAGGGCTACACAGAGAAACCCTCTCTGTCTCAAAAAAAAAACAACTATTAAACAAAAAAAGAAAAACTATCACACACACACACACACACACACACACACACACACACACACACACACACACACAAAATTCTCTCCTCCCAAAATAAATAAAACAAGTCAGCACTTACGACAACAAAATGAACCTTCCCTCTTCTGCTGCTGCCTAGCCACACACTCGTAACCACCCCACTGCTCCTGTGACCCAGAGAAGAACCAGAAACAGGTATTCTTCCCTGACTGACAGGTGCAAGGTGTTTCAAGTTCCCCTCGAAAAATATGGACTCCACCCCAGAGGAGGTCCAAGCCCGAGACCCACCTGTTGATGCCAAGGTCAAGTAGTAGAGAAGGGAGCCACTTTGGTTGAGGAGAAAGGGCATCAGGTACTGGAAAGAGGAGAAATCTGTCAGCAATTGCCTGTTCACACAACAGTCTTAGCCGATCCAGCACAGTGGCTCTCAACCTTCCCAATGCTGCGACCCTTTAATACAGTTCCTCGTGTGCTGGTGGCCCCCAACCAGAAAACTATTTCATTGCTACTTCATAACTGCACTTTTGCCACTGATATTAATCTTTTTAAAATTTATTTTATTGTATAGGTGTTTGTTTGTTTGTTTTGGTCGCATAGCAGTCTGTGCACCAAGTGCAGACAGTACCTTCTAAGGCCAGAAGATGGTGTCAGATTCCCTGGAATGGGACTTACAGACAGTTGTGAGCTGCCACGCAGGTGCTGGGAATTGAACCTGGGTTTTCTGTAAGAGCAGCTAATGCTCTTAACCACAGAGCCATCTCCTCAGCGCCACTGATAGGAATTGTAATGTAAATATCAGATATGCGACCTCAAAGGGGTCTCGACTCACAGGTTGAGAACTGCTGTTCTAGCATCTGCCTTTCCCCCAGGGGGAGAGATAAATAAATGCCCATGCACACACACACACACACACACACACACACACACACACACACGCACACACACACACACACACACACACACACACATGCCCAGGGAACACTCATGTACCTGAGGACCCTTTCAGGGCAAAGAGAGAAACATTCAATGTATACTCTTGTTGTAAATGCCCTATCCCTCATCTTGGCCAGTTCCCATCTTCCCTACAACCTGTCAGGCCTTGATGGCCAGTGCCACTCCTTTCAAGAAGTCCCCTCCCAGTCCTCCAGCTCCACTTCTCTTCTGAACTCACACAGTACTTCATCTGTACCTCTCTCCTTCCCCTTAGCCCCGAGAGTCCTGCATATCTAACTAGCATACTTCAACAGCCATGGGTTGGAGGCAATGTTCGATACCCTTCCTTATGCTCTACGCCAGGGCAAGTTGAGCCCAGAGAAAGCGTTTGGAAAGACAATTGTTATATAATTAGTAAGGTGACAATAACATTAATACTAGTCATAGATTGAACATATATGCTGTACTAGGCCCAGTGCTAAGTGTTTTATGTGTCTTACCTCAATTCTTTTTTGTTGTTGTTTTGTTTTGTTTCTCGAGACAGGGTGTCTCTGTGTAGCCCTGGCTGTCCTGGAACTTGCTCTGTAGAAGGTTGGCCCTCGAACTCAGAGAGACAGCCTACCTTTGCCTCCTGAGTGCTGGGATTAAAGGCATGTGCCACCACTGCCCCGTTCCCTCAATTATTACATCAGCCCTATACATAGGTTATCATATAGTTTCCATTTTACCAATGATAATGCTGAGGCTCACAAAGAATAAATGTCTCTTCCAGGAGCTTCTAGGGAGTAGGAGGTGGGCTGGGATTCTGGCTCCACGGCTCCTCCGAGGGAGCAGCAGTCCACAGACGCACCTCAGTATTCAAGAAGAGAGTCTTCATCTCCTGCAACAGCTGCCGGGCCCACGTCTTCTCATGCACCTGCTGCAGGCCGGCGGAGGCCCGCTTCAGCAGCGGCTGCGTGCCACCCCATAAGGCGGCCACCAGCACCAGAGCTAGCACCTGCCCTGAAAGCAAAGGATCAGAGAGTCACCCAGGCCCTCCCCGGCCTCCTCCGGCAGGGCTGATCGTCTCCATCTCCCTCCCGTGCTCTCCGCGCTGGGCTGCGCTAGGCCCGGAAGTCCCGCACCAAAGGTGGCAGAAGTGAATCTGCCCGGGACTGAGCAGGCCTGGGATTTAGGGGTGCCGGGGACGTGAGAGAGGAGACCCCAGGCAGAGTCGGTGCCGCGGAGGGGCGGGGCCAGCTACCCACCCAGAGACGCCGCCATGGCAACGCCAGACCCTTCTACTTCCGGGAGCCAGGGGGCGGAGTCCCCGCATCCGGAAGTTGACCCTAATCCTCTTCCGGTCCTACTCACATTGCCTCTATCTTCGCGTCACCGCCGGGATGGTGAGTTCCAGGCATGTGGTGCCGCGGTCTGGGGGTCCCCAGTCGGGGTGGGACGGGGTTCCTGGCACTGACACTCCCGTTGTGTCCCCACAGAAGCCCATCCTGCTGCAGGGCCATGAGCGGTCCATCACGCAGATCAAGTACAATCGCGAAGGAGACCTCCTCTTCACCGTGGCCAAAGACCCTGTGAGCCGCCGCGAGGGAGGGCGGCCGGGCGGGGCGGGGCGCCCGGAGGGGCGAGTTCGCACGGTCGGGAGGGTGGGTGAACAAGCTTTGCCGCCTGAGGGCAAGTCCACTGAAAAGCAGGAAACCACCGGTACCGGGCGGGGTAGGGAAGCGACAGCATTCTGCCTGGGAGACCTAAGATAAGTTGATGGTTGATAGGAAAGAGTACCCAGGGAGAAGAAAAATCAGAGACTGTGTGGTAGGGGGACTGGGACAGGATCAGCTCTCGAGGATGGGAAGAACCAGAACGGACAACCTCCAGAGTTTGGAGGATAAAGCTGATCCATGGGCAGTGAGCTGTGTCATTATGAGGGGCTTGGGGTTGTAGTTCATATTAGAGTGGCTAACATGTACCTGGGTTGGATCCCTGGCACCAAGTAGGAAAAGAGGGGAAGAGGAAAAAGACCTAGAACTTAGTGAGGCTATTCCGAGGCTTAGTCTGTTCACTCCCAAGTTGATACTTGGTGCACAGTCTCTTTGGGTACTGCCTTTTGAGGCATTTGCACATGGAGACAGTTAACTGATGGTTAACAGTGGGTAGTCAATTCACAGCACCCTCATGGCAGCTCCCGACTGTCTATAGCTCAGGTTCCAGGGGATCCGGCACCCTCACACAGGCATACATGTAAGCAAAACACCAATGCACATAGAATAGAAATAAATTATTAAAAGAAACAACAGCCGGGCGGTGGTAGCACACATCTTTAATCCTAGCACTCTCGGGAGGCAGAGGCAAGCGGATCTCTGTGAGTTCGAGGCCAGGCTGGTGTACAGAGCAAGTTCCAGAAAAGGCTCCAAAGCTGCACAGAGAACTGGGGGGGGGGGGGGGGGGGGGGACGGGGACGGACAGACACGACCAGCATTGAGTAGTCTGAAGGCAGAGCTTGATGTGAGTCCTAACTCCTGTACCTACTAGCAGTGTGACTTTGAATATGACATGTGACTTTTCTAAATTACAGTTTTTCCCGTTTAATAAAACATGGAACTTTAAGTACCTCCCTCAATAAAATGAGGTCATTCTTGTAATGGTTTTTCATCATACCTGGTGTATGTTAGTCACTTGCATTTTACATTTCTTAGACATTTTATTGGAGTTTCTGAGCTGGCCTGTGCCTCTCCATCCTCATGCCACAGCCTCCCAGTCCTGGGAATATAGGGGTGTGCTGCCACACACAGCTTGGCCTTGCCCTTTAAAATATGTATTTTATACATAATGAATCTGTTTATCTTAAGCGTATGGGTGTTTTGCCTGCATGTGTATGCCTGGTGCCTGAGAAGGCCAGAAGAGGGTATCAGATCCCCTGGAACTGGAATTACAGGTGGTTGTGAGCCATCATGTGGCTGTTGGGTATCAAATCCAGGTCATCTAGAAGAGCAGCCAGTGTTCTTTAACCTCTGTGCTATGTCTCTAGCCCTTTTAAAGTTAGCTTGGCGGTGGCGGTGGTGGTGGTGGTGGTGCTCACGGTGCTCGCCTTCAATCCTGGCACTTGGGAGGCAGAGGCAGGCGGATCTCTGAATTTGAGTCCAGCTTTGTCTACAGAGTGAGTTCCAGGATAGCAAGGGCTCCACAGAGAAACCCTGTCTCAAAAAAAGTTCAGAGGACAAAGCACTGAATTTAAAATCACAGTGAGAGGGACAAAGTAGCAGGAGAGCCCACACATCCTTACTGCCATCTGTTCCCAACTGGATAGGACACCTTGGCCTTTGATTGTTCAGGGAGATGCTGAGTCCAGACAAAAGATACTGAGGATGCTATTGCAGGCCTCATTTCAACACTGCTTACTTTTAGGAAGAGAGGAGAACCCAGGAGCTGGCCGCCTTTTATCAGCTGTCTAATAAATGAGCAGAGGGCACACTTGGTTTGGCTAGAGTCTACAGAGGGTTTGTAGGGCCAAATGAGCTGTTGCTTTTTCTGAGATGTGACCCACCCTGTCATTTTACTCTTGCAGATCGTCAATGTGTGGTACTCTGTGAATGGCGAGAGACTGGGCACCTACATGGGCCATACTGGAGCTGTGTGGTGTGTGGATGCTGACTGTATCCTTTTGGCTGTGGGTTGGCCTTGGAGATGCCGACTTTGAGGTTGGGAGTTTGACATGCTGTAGTGCTCCAGAGAATAAGGCTTCCTACTCTCTTTGCTTCATCGATTGGGGAAACAGGGCAAGTTTAAGTTTTGGATCTGATGTTCGGAACACTCTGAGGTAAGAGAGAGTAAGCAAGCTCTTTGGGGCTGAACTGGGAGACGCTTTAGATGGCTTCCAAGAGAACATGGGTGTGTGTGTGTGTGTGTGTGTGTGTGTGTGTGTGTGTGTGTGTGTGTGATGAATCTGTATATGCAGGTCACTTAGGGAGGCCAGAAGTCAGCATCAGGTGTCTCTTCAATCACTCTTCAACCTACCTACCTTTCTCTCTCTCTGTCTCTGTTTCTCTCTCTCTCCTTCCTTTCTTTTTTTTCTTTCTTTCTTCCTTTCCTTTTCTTTTTCTTTTTCTTTTTAGAAGATGTATTTGTAAGCCGGGCGGTGGTGGCACACGCCTTATCCCAGCACTCGGGAGGCAGAGGCAGATCTTTGTGAGTTTGAGGCCAGCCTGGTCTACAGAGCGAGATCCAGGAAAGGCACAAAGCTACACAGAGAAACCCTGTCTCAGAAAACAAAAAAAAAAAAAAAAAAAAAGATGTGTTTGTATGGGTGTTTTTCCTGTATGTGTGTCTGTGTCCCGTGTGTGCAGTGCCGGCAGTGGGCATCGGTTCCCTCAGCACAGGAATTACAGATGGTCATTAGCCACCATATGGGTGCTGGGGCTCTAACTTGGCTCCTCTAGAAGAGCATCAAGGGCTCTTAACCACTGAGCCATCTCTCCAGCCTCCCAATCCCTCCCATTTCACTCCCTGGAGACAGGGTCTCACTAGATAGCCCTGGATGCCCTGGAACTTGCTCTGTATACCAGGCTGACCTTGAACTCAGAGATCTGACTGCCTCTGTCTCCTGAATGATGGGATAAAAGGCACGTATCACCACCACCACTCTTTTGAGATAAAAACCAGACATAACCTTTCACTGAATGTGGAGCTCACTGACCAGCTAGACTTGTCCTTCAAGTCACTGAACTTCCTGTCTTTACCTCTCAGCACAGGGATTTCAGGCACATCTGAATCTTTGTGTGGGTGCTGGAGATTTGAACTCAGGTCCTCATGGTTGCACGGCAAGCACTTTACCCACTGAGCCATCTCTCAACCCTCACCATTTCTGTTTTATTCTGTGGTTAAGAATGATTCGCCTCGGCCGGGCGGTGGTGGTGCACGCCTTTAATCCCAGCACTCAGGAGGCAGAGGCAGGCGGATCTCTGTGAGTTCGAGGCCAGCCTGGTCTACAGAGCGAGATCCAGGAAAGGCGCAAAGCTACACAAAGAAACCCTGTCTCGCAAAACCAAAAAAAAAAAAAAAAAAAAAAAAGAATGATTCGCCTGCATGTATGTGTGTGTGTGTGTCTGGTTCCCCCCAGAGTGCAGAGCAGGGCATTGAATCCCCTGGAACTGGGAGCCACCATATGGGTGGGTGCTCGGAATCTAACCTGAGTCTTCTGGGAGAAGAGCTAGCACTGTTAACCACTGTACCATTTCTTCCAGTCATGTTTCTTAATGCCTCCTTCAGGGGACACCAAGCATGTCCTTACTGGCTCAGCTGACAACAGCTGTCGCCTCTGGGATTGTGAAACAGGTAAGCCTGTGCCATGCACTTTTCAGCAAGGATTTACAACTACAGTGTACCTGTCTAAGCAAATATGTTCGGGGAACTGGAGATAGTTGGTTTCCAGTCTACAGATTAGGAGACAACAAACAGAACAGCAAGGAAGTTAGCTGGGGACAGAAGCTTTACATTAAGATAGTAAGCCATGTTCAAGGAAGGCCGGAGAGGGACAGTGGACCTCCTGAGTGGGGAATTGGTGGCCTTGGAAGGTTTCTCCAGGTAACTTGTGAAAGCTGGGGCTTTTATGGGCAGCAGAGTGCTTGGTCACTTTGGCACAAGCAGGAATGAAGGCAAGGGATGTCCAGGTAAAAGGCTAAGACAAGCTATGTGTGACGGAACACACCTCATCCCAACACTGGGAGGCTGAGGCAGGAGAGTGGAAAATTTCCAGCTAGCTTGGGGTAGGGTGGATGAAACTAGAGTCTGAAGCCCGAACAGCCTTGACTGTGGAAGTGAAGAACTTGGTTTCAGGTTCAGGGAGTGTGGAAGTTATTGCCTTCACTCCTGATCCCAGCAGATTCCAGTGGACACTCCCAATCCAGTGGTCACACAGGTGGCCCCGCTTAGACTTACTGAGTCACAAAACAAAACTAGAAGTCACAGACCTGGGAGATGGACTGATAGGGATGTAAGTGGTAGACATGGGGACGCGAGGGAGAGTAATCAGAATCTATTATGTACATGTCTGAAGTTGTCAGGCAACAAAATAAATAATTAAAATACAAAACTCTGCCAGGCAGTGGTAGCACACACCGTTGATCCCAGCACTCTGAAAGTAGAGGCAGGCAGATCTCCAAGTTTGAGGCCAGCCTGGTCTATAAGGTGAGTTCCAGGACTACAGAGAGAAACTATCTGGAAAAACAAACACAATAATATAAAACTCCAGGCTAGCTGGGCGGTGGTGGCGCACGCCTTTAATCCCAGCACTCGGGAGGCAGAGCCAGGCGGATCTCTGTTGAGTTCG